GAGTGATGCCCAGTCGGCGTCGTCCTGCAGCCCGTACCGCTCAGAGCCGGCGATCTGCAGCGCTGCGGGATGCACCTCGAGCGGCAGCCGGGACAGCTCCTCTCCCGGGTAGACACCTGCTGGATCTGTGCGCTGAGTGTGCGTGTAGATGCACAAAAATGAGAGTCGTACCTGGTCTACGGGACACATACACCCACAGCCCCGCGATATTGCTCAGCAATGCAACGACGAGCACGAGCACGCCGGCGTGCACGACGTGAGCAGGGAGAACATAATATTTGCCAGAAGTGTCGTGCATGCTGAGTGCTTCAGGATCATGTTGAGCTCGTGAATGATGACTTGACGGCGAAGTATAGAAACATTCGACCGAGGGTCCAGAATGGAAGCGTCTAGTCCAAGTCTAGGTTAAGTAAGCACTGCAGTCGCCCATCGTTGTCGTCGTTGTCGTCGTTGTCGTCGTTGTCGCCCATCCAGGATGCAATCGAGGTCCACGTACACAGCGCTGCCGTCGTCGCCCGACGCATTGGACGAGCCGGCTTCGGCAAGGGGCGATCACCCCGATCTGCCCTCCGCGAACCTGCCCTCCGCCGCGCTGGTCTCCTGCACGCGTCGGTCGGTCCTCCTTCTCTACATCCTCTACGCACTCGTCCTTGTCTCCGCTGGCGCTAGCTTCGCCGCGCTCGTCGATGCGTCAGACTTGCTGCATAAATACGTACCGCGTGCGCTGCGCAACCTCCCCCGCCCCGACATCTCGATTGGGCTCCCTACGTAGTATGCAGGGCACATGGCCCACTGGCAGGGTGCGTGTACCGTCGTCCACCTAATTATCTTCTATCAAATTTAACCTCCTCTTACGCATAGAGTTACTAATGTGTCGAGCGTGCCCTGTCGAGATCTCATTCCGCCTCGCCGTTGACATCCGCTGCCCAGTACTGTGATTAGCAGTGTGTATCTGGTCCGCTCCACCCCCCACAAGCAGCACTCTGTTTATCCTGTGGAATCAACGCGGGGAGACCTCGTTGTTTTTCGAATCCGATCAGCAGGCAAAGAGTAGCGGAGCATCCACTTGTAGATTTCTCCGTGTGTTGATAGCCATCCTTGCTTCAGATGGTGGGCTGTGGGTAGCGGGAGGGCGGATGCGCCTGCTGAGGTTTGTACGGCGCCAGGGTGAGAGAGGAGCGTAGCGACTAATACTATATATGCCTTTGATATTCAGACTGTTAACCTCATTTTCGTAGACATCGATTTCCATGTGTCCCTGAGGTGCATGCATCGCAGTCATGCGGCAACCAAGTATCCCGGTATTGAATACATTACAACGATATACTGATGTCTAGCAATGACCATCTACTACAATTACCCCGAACGTGGAAAGCACAGCTACAAGCGAAGAGAGCATACAGTATGCGTAGCGATATGGCAGGAATTTTGTTCACCACACCCAGACATGTATTCCGACATTAAGGTCCCGGGACCATAATGAACAACACTCCCAGTCACCTCTAGCCTTGATGCTCATAGCATGCACAGGCTCGTTCACGTTGCGTTCACCCTGATGTCGGCGGTACCACCGCATCGAGACCTTCGGAATCACCTGCATCAAGGATGCAAACACCACAACAACCAACCTTTCTAGTTGTGCATCAAACACAATGACAGCGGCGACCGCTACCGCCAAGCACACGCTGAAAAGGTTGCACCGGATCCGGACACTAGCAGACACCCTCCTGTATTGATGATCATGGAGAGCGGTATGGACGCGCATAGAGTGGGCATTATTGGGCGGAGTCTAAGGGGTGGAGCCGCGAGCAGAGTCCCAGCGATAGAGCCACTTGATGCAGGCATGAGTGGCAAATCTTCTTTATGGTGCTGTCCATTTGCAGACAGACACGATTAGTAAGGAGTGCGAAGGAAGAGATAGATGCAGGTGTCAACGTGGCAAAATACGAGGTCAAAAAGTTCAAAGTAGACGTCGAGGTTGGGCAAGATGTAGGCTTCGCGGGACAAGATGACGTCGCTGCGGGGCGTCCTGTAGGTGCGCCAATCGCCCTAGCAAAGACAGAGGAGGCGAGGAAGGGGAGAAATATGGAGAGCTGCACAATATGGACGGATACGCGTGAAGGACAGGAAAAGTAAGATTCGACGGAAAGACTTTAAGGAGGAAGCTTGAGGAAGGAATAAGAAACGACAAGAACAGTGCACAGATATATACTACATGGGGAGTGGAATGCAGTAAAGAATGTGACGGATGTGCAGATACGGTTCTGGATAGTCCTACCAGATATTGATAGATACAGGAGACCTAGGATACGCGTAAGTCTTATTTGAGTTGAAATCGGAATGTAAATGCAATCAACGATGAGCGAATTTACTTACAGAAGTCGTCCACTGGCATGCAATACTGGGAGCCTTGCGGAGAGCTGCGTCCGCCAGCAACCTTCGGTTATGACACTCATGACCTCATCGGAAGATCGAATATCACATTGAAGGAGAAAGACGACTTTCCGAAGAGCGGGAAATTGACGGCTAGAGAGGCTATGATCCAATTGTGCATAGCAACCACTGTCAATTTTATCGAGTGCATCCTGGACCTCGACGGGCGTCGTCTCGAGAGGTTTGAGCCGCAAAACAATTGTGATCTCAGCTAATTTCGGCAGAGACGCGCAAGACAAGACACTTGCTGCTTTGCCCATATCTTGAAGATAGCTGGCGAACGATATGGCGTGTAGCTTGATAGCTAACGTAAGGTCAATGGGGATGACCGAAGGGCGATCTAGAGGCGCCATCAGTCATTGATTTGCACTGGACTACCAGCATGCTGCCTTTACCACTGACCATGGTCAGAGGTAAAACCATAATGCACTACGTTGATGTGTACGGACGAAAGCGATTCGGCGGCCACAGCGACCAGCCTCAACAATTTGCTCGACGCCCTGTCATTGCAGGAGAGATGGCGGAGATGCGCGCCGATCGACGCGAGCACGTCAGCGACGTCATCGCTGAAAGACAGGTCGACGACGTCGAGTCGGAGAGGACGTTGCACCCTGACAACGCCCGCCATATTGCAGCCATTCTTGAACCGCACTTTCATGCACGAGAGCGAGGACAGGCGAGGGAGCGCACGGATAAGCCGCCAAAATACGACCGCAGAAGGGAATGGCACAAAGTGGAGGAGCAGCTTGGTCACCGACTCAAATGTGAGCGTTACATGGAGGAAGACTTGCGTGTGCAGCTGCCCAGCCGCCCATGCGCCATTTTCGATTCTGAGCAGCTCAACTCGGGGAAGTTTCTGCATCATCCGCACAGTAAACGACCCGAATATACCCACGGACTTTCCCCCGAAATCGAACGAGACGGTCTTGATAACATGGCATCGCTCCGGGTGCTCGCTGAGTATGTTGATAAGGCGATATACTTGCTTTTTGTCCATGCCACTCAAATCAATCACCTCCTGTATGCGAAAGCGACATCGGGCATACCACCCACGACACACTTGGCCGAGTCGTCTAAGGGTGTCGTCGGCGTAAGGATTGTCGTCTGCGATAACATCAATTATCTGCTCCCATAATTCTGGTGGAAGTCGGCCCGAAATCATGGGGCAAGTATCCAGTAATTGGCTGAACGTCCGCTCGGCGATGGGAGCATCCCAGCACGACTGTCGTCCGTTCCCATCTATATTGCATTCAACGTATCTGCGTGCGGGGGGAAGGGATCACTCACCAGCTTGAACTGCAATATGATTCCTCCCGTCGCCTTCCCCGACCCTATCCGTCGTGAAACTGACATCCTGTCGGCCACACGCTGGAGGAACGTCTACGGGTAGAGTTGCCATGTGCGGAGAGTGGGTGCATTAGACGTACGATCTCTAAGGGATGCCCACTCCCTCGAGCCAGATAACTGTCCCTGCCAGCAGCACAGCCCTGACAGCTGTGTCACCATGTGCCTGCGCTATACGTGCTGAGGATAGAATCTCCGATCGAACTTCACCGTATTGAACCTGGATTGCACATGACGAAACTCACAGTCATACCTCCCAGTCCCGTCGTTGCACAGACTTCATCTTTTTGGACAATACAGATATACTCGACCTTGGCGACCTAGTGCTTTCACGCAGATAGTGATAAAGTCAACTGTAGCATTGCCGAGCAGACGAGTCACAGATGCAAAGCACCGCCTGCACAATCATGACAGACACCCCCTTGGTCTTGCAACTACACTGCAAGGTAGTAAAAGATCAGGCTCCCATCCCGGAACGGGAGCTTCTACCAGGAGTCAATGCCCTGGCAAGGCCACCCAACGATCAAGCCGCCAGCCCGGAACAGACGCATCTGGCGGTTGAAATAAGCTGGTGCAGACTGTAATCGCCCCGTCGTTGTGCGTTGCCGTTGACATCGGAGCAGAGCCGTCGTCGCCCGACGCATTGGACCAGCCCATCGGATCAATCGGATCACCCCGACTCCGCGACTCTGCTCTCCGCCAACCCCCGCCACATACAAAGAAATTATCCTTTCTCCTCCATCAAAAGGCGTGCGAAAAGCATTAGAATTGTGTAATAAGACTCTGAACAATCCTAGGTTTGCATAGTCGAAAGTACCCTTTTGCCTGTCCAAACCGGAAGCTGCGAAAGGGCGCATTTATCAAGCCGTCCACTAGGCCATAAAGTATACTTTCTTGAGTCTCGCAAAGGGTCCATTTCCTCCTAATGGAAAGGATGAATGCTTCGTTGGCCCGCGGCCTCGTCGCCACCTCCGCGCTACCCAACACCTCGATTCCCTGCGTCAACATTCATCGTCCAACACGCACCACGCGCACCACGCGAGCGGGCATGTGTGCCCAGCCATCTCCTACTCCTACCGTACATAACCCCGCCCTCCGAGTCTCTTGTATAGGCTGCACAATATTTCTGCCGGCCTCGAAGCCCATCGAAGGCCCAAAGACACCGGCTCCCATCACCGCACTACGCACGCACATCCGAGTCCCGCTCTGCCCCAAAAAACCGGCAGCCAGAAGCTTCAAGGAGAACCCTGTACATCTCCGCGTCCCGTGAGACCAGAGCAGGGAGAACATGTCGATGCAAAGAGTCGACCTCGGCTAGAGGCCCGCTCCGAGCCCGAGTGGCGCAACCTGGACGCGCTGTCAAACGTCGTCCTCTGAACTTCCCCGTCTTGTGAGCAGAGCAGAACGTTCTTGTTGCGTACGGTAGATTGCGGACGATTGGAAGGAGGGGACTCCCCGTTGCGGTTCGCGCAGTTACCTTATCAGACTGCATATATGCGCCTTTGATTCCGATTGTCGACTTGTGGCTGCAAACATCGATTTTTGCGTGGCCCGACTGTTTACATATGAGCTTTACGGTGCACAGCAAATACAACCCAGGGGTGAATTTATTTTGAACAGTGGTAATCTAATTAAAGTGTCCTAACTACGAAAAGCGAAGAGAGCGTGCAGCGTGCGTACCGACAAGTGCGACTGGAAACGACCGTATGACCACAAACGAACGACTTTGGTGGCCCACCACCAGCCCGATATCTAGAGGGAGAGAGAAAGTCCTACACTGGAGTCCTGAGTCCATAACAAACAACACAGCGCACAAAGCCAACCACCCATCCTGTCGCTTACGCAGTGACCCTAGCGGACCTGACGTTCACTACAGGCGTAGACTTGTTTTCGCAACACCTCCAATGGTAGCTTTGGTGTGCTGTACTACATCCGCATCGAGGTTTCACGCGACATTGATACCAACGAGAGCATCTTCGCCCACCTCAGCAACACCGTCAACGATGGCATTGGCAGCTTCGACTGCGTCTGTGTCGAGGTCACGCCCGACGTGGACACCAGTGCCAACAAGCCCCGCCACTTTTACAATGTCGGCAACGTCAGCCTTCACAGCCGCGACGAGACCCAAGTCCAACACGTCGCGCTTCTGCAGAGAGACGTTGAGGGCCACACACGCGTCAAGGGCAGAGGAAGGCGTGTATCCATCACGACACGTGTCGACGACGCACGTACCGTCCTGGCAGAGGACCGAATCGACGTTGGAGATGGCTCTGCAGTTTTGACCGTGTGCAGAAGTGGATGAGAATAGCGATGAGACGATGCATCCGCCGCCTAAAGCGACACCGATCAGTCAGCAGGAGGAGATGAAGCGAAAACAGAATCACGCACAGGACTCGGGGTTGGATTTAGTGTCGATACATTCCCAGCCGAGGCCGCTGCTGCTGCCGGGGACGCCGCATACAGTTTGGCCTGCGCGGCAAGAGGGCTCGCTGCGGCGGCGGGGGACAGCAGAGCCGCAGCCGTGGGGGAAGGCTCCACACTGGCCGTTGCAGACCATGCTGGGGGCAGGACAAACGCACTCGGTGGGGTGGCTGCTGCCCGGCGGGGTGTAAGGGACGAAGCCGTCTGTACAATCCCAACCGCAAGGCCAATCAGCGCTACAGATGGGGTGAGCGTGGGAGGGGTAGTGGCAAGTCTCCTTTCCAGAGGCGCCGTTGATCTGCAAACAGACGAGGTTAACGAAAGGCGAAAGAGGGAAGGGAGACAAGGGGACGCACGAGGGCTTCGAGTTCTGCGAGGACGACATCCTCGCCGAAGAGGTCTACGGCGGCTTTTGCGACGACGTCGACTTGAATGAAATCCGGGAGGAGGGAGAGGCAGAGGCAGACTTTGATGTGGCCGAACACGATGTCGAGGATGTCAAGGTCGACGTCAAGACTGACGCAGACGTCGAGGAGATCGCGTTGGATGTGAGCCTGGCGGGACGAGACGACGTCGTGGCGGTGGGCCCTGCGGGTGAGAGAGGTGCGCGTCGCGCCAGCAAGTGCGGAGGAGGCGGCGAGGAGGGGGAGGAAAACGGATGAGAGCTTCATGGTAGGAGAGAGGATGGAGAGGAGAAGAGAGACAAGTGAAGGACAGGAAGGGTCGGGCTCGACGAGGAGACGAGGGCGGGGGAAACCTCAAGACGAGGATGGGAGACGGCCACCGCGGGGAGCCCCTTTAAGTCGGAGGGGAAGACCCTGGATGGGAGAACCCGAGTTCTGTGTCAGAAAATCGACGACAGCTGAGGCCGCACAGACCGCGCTTCGACGTCGAGGACACAGCCAATGGCAGCAGAGAATCTGTACGAGACGGGCGAGAAAGGCGTTTAGAGACGAAGGTGTGCGTACCTCCTCGTCTTCTGGTCTTCTCCATCATCGCGGGACACTTGCCCCTCGTCGCTCCCAGAGAACTCAGTATTCCAGTATGCAGTACTCAGTACTCAGCCGTACTTGCCAGTGTCTGCAACTCCTTACCGCTCTCGATGCCGTTTGGTCTGCGGCAACGCACCTGCAGCCGTCCTCGATCAAAGTCAGGCGGACCGCCGGCGCCGGCGCTCGGGCGCGCCACACCCTCTCCGCCAGTCATGCAGCTGCCAGGCTCAACACAGCGCAGTTCCCCATAGCTGCATCGCCAGACAACCAGGAGGTTCCCTCTCCACCTTCGTTCTTGTGTTCCTGGCCATTAGATGTCTCTCCAATCCGGCCACCAGTCTGCCTTACCGTGGCTAATTGCCCTGTGCCTGTATGTAAAACCATGTGCTCGCAGCCACTCGCACAGAAGCCCAGAAACATTCGACATTGCAAATCCTGATATACATGCCACGCCTCAGTCCATCCTCCCCTTGAGCGTGCGCTTGATCACCTTGTCTTTTGTTCTGCGTGCAACTTGGTGAGCCACGCACAAAGACCAATCCGCAGAAAAAGGCATGCATCCATCGGGCATCAAACCCGCTCGAGGACTGGCAGAGAGTACGTCTTGCCGACAAGGCTCACTCTACTTGACATGAGTAGTGCGCCTCCTCGCTTCGGGCCCTCGCGCGCCGCCCGACGTCGCACGCACGTGAACGACGACAGAATCCTCGGTTCCTGTCCACAGACCGGTGTCCCGCTGTCGTTTGACCGCGGATCCGAGACCAGCTGGGCAATCCCCCACGCTGTAGGACCCGCCCAGACCGGCCCTTCAGACGTCCGTACCTGTGCCACTGTCTCCGAGTAGCGAACCCCGACGCTACCGGACGGCGGACGAACATCTTTCGGCCTCACAAACAAGGGCCGGCGCGGTTGCACGCGATCTCCAACAATCCTCACGAATATCGCAGAGAACGAAAAAAAAAAAA